GCTAATCTCATGTTTAGAAAAATGGTCTTTATAAATGATTCATCAATGCTGTTGAACTAATTAGTAATGAAAATCACCCTTTGCTCCTCTGTCAATTTGTGGGGATCTGCATATGAAAGTAGAAAACGTGTTCCATGATTTAGACCAATTTTGCTCTTGATACGGCTGAATTTCTCAAGTTATATAAGTTATATAAGTAAAGTAAAGTATATAAGTAAACAAATTACTTAAAAACATTTTATTGACTTACGAAATGTTCTCACACATTTACGAAAGTGTTTGAATGAATCTCTGCCCATTGTTAGAATTCTCAAGTTAGTAACGCTACAGGGCATCCCATCACAACACGAAATTAACTACAGGCAACTCACCACTCCTAATTGCACGTAAAAGAATCCACCAACTCTTATGTGCTCTACTCGAACCCAGCAACATAGACACAATGAAAGGAAAGATATTCACAAATGCGCTGATCATCACAATTTGGTCACATTACATTTCGTCTTTCTTTGCTATTTCAGGGACAAAATGAGCATGCTGATCTTTTCCCCTCTAACCAAAAACAATCTCCCCTGACCATCTAAATGGTCTCGCTGGCAAGTCTTCCCTACCTGACACACTAGTGCCGAGAGATCGAGCTGAAGTTGTGTGTACGAGAGCACCGTTGGCAGTGACATGTTGTTAGAGTTGACATGAAGAACATGATACCCTCTGATTGAAGAGGAGAACTGACTCCACTGACTTGGACTTTTAACATTGTCGCAGTTAATTCAACTTGGGTGCGGTGGACATTATGATTGATATTAAGTTTGGGTTAGTTGAATTTAATAGTAAAGACAACAACCTTGCAATTGGAAAATTGAAAAGGAAGTTAATGCATCGGGAAAATATTGGAAATAAAATTCTTAAATCTAGTAAGAAAATGGATTCGCTTGATTGATATGAATGTGATCACATAAATTGCTCATTCTCCGACTGGACTCCATTTTGATTAGACATTGCAGTCATAAAGGTAAACTACATGGGGTTTGGGAAATTATAAAGGTAAATTAGTATTGGTTTGAATGAATGTACTTCCTAGGACAAAATATTTAATGCTTGGGTGTGAGATAGACTTACCTCCACGTGGTGCACTCTGGACAACGTTTAATAATACGTCTCTAATTCGGCAGTTGACTTCAGTTTCAAACTACAAAGAACCCATTGTATGTCATATTCAACTACTTTCATAATGCTTTCAATCTTCTGTTATTCCGCATGCTGAAAGTCACTCAATATCATCTTGATCTGGTGAATTTTTTTCCACAGCTCGCGACTTTGAGTCCTCAGGAAAACCAAGTTGTGACACCGGCGGAAAAGTGGACGAGCCTGACATTTTGGTCATCACCCGTTTCCCCCAATTCTGGAACTCCGGCCATAGGGTACATATGATTACCAGGTCTAAGTACATACACATACGTTGCTTGTGCCTGTGAGGCTAGAAATGAAGATCTGGGTAGAGGAAAAACATCGAATTCAATTGGCTACTGAAAAAAAGACATTGATTAGCTGATATAATACGGAATGCGATTGCTATTGAATTGAATGTAGAGAGATTATGACTTTTAAAGAAATTTGGGAGTTACTTCATAGCTTCCAGATTGACTCAGACGAAGAGCTGCAATGTGCGTCCAGGGATAAATAAATTGTCTAATACATTTGAATAGCAAAATGAAACGCAAACTTGCACTCAGATGGCATACGATTATCAAATCGATTAATTATTGCTGTTTACAAATGGCAGTATTTGCCTTGAGTTTATTTATATCCGTAAAAGTAAGTCACTGTTTATTAACTTCAAAACAATAATATTTGAACATTTAAAAGAAAATCAATTGAAATCGCGTTTTTAAGTGGTAATAGGCTGCAATAATGGGAGGTGGAAGAGGTTCCACGAAATCATGCGATTTGTTATCAAGATATATAAGCGGTAATGGCAAAATCGATGGGTTTGGGAGTTTGCGGAGAGAAGGTTTGGTAGACTCGATGCATATAAAACAAGTCAGTGCTGATCACAAATAGAGAGCTTCTCAATCTGCACCAAATCGCATGAATCAGATAAGCAAACACATTCCAACCCTTCGAGCTCATCAACTCTGAACTGACGGTCAAATCTGAGCTTATCATTTTGCGCTAACTCCCTTAATTATGTGTTCACCTTCTTGCCCCCTATTTCAGCTCATTTAAGCAGAAGCCACTGGAATCAACTCCAAATACAATATATAGAGTATAGAATTAATTTGCATCCATTATTTATTCTAATTCACATGACTCATATTTCTAACTATTTTGCAGAACAAAATTAATGCAAATGCTAATTGTATATTATGGTCGAAGGATGGATATATCATGAGGCCACGTTGCATTTATCATATTCCATTTTTACCATTTTGATTAGGAAATGCTGTTTCCCGTAACCAGGTGCATTGCATCAATGAGTAACGATTTATTATCACTAGCATTAAGTCGAAATGCTTGGTTGGGGTTCTTCTCGAGTGGCTTGGGGATCGCCACAGAGGCTGTAATGAGTAGTTTGTAGCAATGCAGCATTATTAACTAAACAAACATCTTGTTGTTGGAGGTTAAGTTTAGTATATGTAGTAGAAGGAAACATACTAAGTCATCAAGTCATTGGTCACAACTTGAGGGAATGTAACCTATAAGAACTTAATAGTTTGATTATTTCGATTATAATTTCGAATTTTTTCGGAGTAGAATTACAAGACTCCTTCTTTATCCAGTCAGGCACAACAAATAACAATTAGGGAGTTCTAAAATTGCTAGCCCAAATGACTATTTGCCATACGACTTCAAATAATTTGGAGGGAGTTGACATATTGAAGAAAAGATACCGATGAATATTGAATACTTCAACATGAAAAGCGGAAATAAATCTTTTGAGTGCAATCCTCCATTTCATGCCTCATTTCACTATCTTCCTTGTGTCGTTACTCTGATGCTTTTTCATTCTTAATAGTTGTTCCATCAACAATGCACGATTTCTTGCAGAAATAATAATAATATTAATAATAATCAGCTATCATGAATTTGATGCACATCTCAGTTACTCAATTCACGAAAACACTGTTTAATTACAGTACGAATGAGAAGTATACTGGGTAGATAAAATTAATTATTAATATTCTATTGTCGATAATAATTGTCGATATTTCCTGCTATTTTTCAGAAGCGGTTTCTACTGTAATCGATAAATCCACTCGCATTCTAATTTCTTAACTCGGATAGGTTGTAATCTTTGCGAATCGCATCTTCATAGTGTGAGGCTTTCTTAATATGAGTAGTAAGAATTCAACTACCCAAAATAAAACCTCTTCCTATAAATGTTGAAAACCTTAATCACTTTGACAATATTCTAAGCAGCCCACAAATGGTTAACTAGTTTTGGCGACTAAATGAGGCGCATGCGTTCCACAGGCATTGTCGTGGGTTTCACCTTGATGCTACTTGGGGATAATTTCTACTGAGAAGGGGCTTGCGGAGTCCCCAGTGGCATTTCCCGGTGGCAAGATGGAGANAGATAGAGCTCTTCTTTAACATGTCCTTCTTTATCAGAGAGGACCTAAGTGTCTCCTTCCCACACGTCTCAAGGGATGCCTGTGCCTACTTTGTGGAGGCTGCATCTGCTATAGTGGCTTTTAAACTTATCACAAGATTTGAAATAAAGGTGAATGAATTGACCCATCATTCAAAGCAAACGTTTCATCCTCTCGAAGTCTAAAGGAATCGGCAATAAAAAATAAGGCAACGCAAGTCGAGCAGTTTCCGGTTGGCATTTACATGTCCGATGTTGTCCAAATCTTATCAACTACAGGCACTGCGTCAGTATGATGTTAGCGAGGAGAAGAACAGAGATCTTAGTCGATGGAGAATGTGGATTCAGAACTTTCTAATCAATGTTGATTTATTAGCTGGTGGAACAATCCTTAATCAAAATTTACAAAGTGAGTAAATTATTGCTTAGCTTCATAATATTCCACCTGCAGATTTACCGTTTTTGAAAACGTTTCAATAACGTTTAAGTGAACGCCTTAAAATTAAAATATTTTCAACGCTAACACCACTAGATCTGCAGTCGTTTTTCATAAACGTCACTCCATGATACCCAATTCTGACTCGAATAAACTAAAGTGGAGTGAGAAGTGGTCTTCTTAGCTAATCACATTAATGTTCATTTAAATTACGCGAAAGTTATTCCACATACGAATCGTATTTGCTATTATCCCAAAATCCAATAAACAATTTTCTCACTAGATGTCTACCCAGGAGAAAGGTTAACTAATTCTGAGGCAAATGCCTGACAAGGGATCCAAACGAAGAGCCCTCATTTGAAATTACCTACCATATCTAGGATGTCCCATATCCTTTCGTTCCAGACGCCTCAAAGGGTATGCATGCATATTCTACTACCACTCAGAACAGCAGGCAAATAGCCAATGTGAATCGGAACCTGCATTCGACACAGACATTCCGAGAGGATTGTACAAGCTGTCTTGCCATTACATCATACTACTTGGAATGCCACGCATTCTTCCCTCCAATATACAAACGCGATTCGAATGAGGATACGAACACTGCCTACGAAGGGCTCCGCAAAGCTTATTGGGAGAACATAGTTCAATTTGCCTATGAAAATGGCTAGCAAGCATGACCATCAACAACAATAATGTTATTCTTTCTTCATCCCACAACGCTTGTACGCTAGATTCGATATTGCAATCGACCCAATGGCAATTATTGCAACTGTGGTTGACCTTAAAATGACCTCATTTCATGATGTATTCATTGGAAATTGAGCCATTATTTTAGCCAAAATCAGTAACATCCAATCAAATTAGATAACCAAAGACCTCATTTCGCATGCTTGTACTTTCGTGTATATAGAAATATTGTAGACGAGCGATCGACTTCATTTTAACAGCACCACAGTAGCAGACGGCAGTATGTCGAGTGAGCAAACAATTCGTGAAGAAATTTCGCAGAGTACATCAACGGACCAAGGCAACGTCGAACCAACGGTCCGTATGCATGAAGAGAGGTGAGTAACACTCGGTCTTCAAAGTTATTGACAGCATTTGCCATGATTCGAGAGTTGCATAGGAAATAGTGGTGTAGAGAGTACAATTTTGACTTCACGTCTCGTGGTGGGTTGCTTCAGAGGAAATCACAATTCGATCCTAATCCGGTCAAAAGTGAACTAAATCCTACTAATTAAGTAGAGGAAAATGAGCATTTATGGAGTGTCATCTACGCAAGAGGCATGAAACCGAACAAATGGATTTATCTACGTCGGAATTGCGGTTGATAGCACTCGTGTACTGCACGTGTACGTGCCATGAGATGAAATCAACACACGTAGCAATTATGTTAGCTACTTCTCCATAAAAGCGCTTTTGAGATAGCAGATCTCCACACTGTAAGTACCTTGATTACTTGCCAAAGGGAAAATAGTAAATTACTTCGAGTCCCTTCGAGACACTCTTCTTTATCCATTTAAATATCTCTCGAACTGTAATTTACATATTAGCGGAGACAATTTTGTCAATTTGCTGCCGACTCTAAAGCGGTGTGTGGACGGCCTTTGCAGGACAATTGAGAATGGTTCAAGAGGGGCGCATCGTTACTACTTGAAAGACAACGCAAGGATCCAAGTTATCTCCTTTCTTCTCGATAATGGACCACTTCTCAATATTTTGGCTGAAGTCAACCCGACTGTTGAAGACATTTGTAATCGTCTAAGAGCGTATGAGAAAAAGAAGACCTACGTTCCAAGCCGAAGATGCAGAGGTGGAAGGTATAAAGTTTGCTATGACAGGTAAATAGTTGCTCTGAGTTTATGTCTCATTTTGCAAGCACATTTGAATCGAGGACTCAATTTCTCTTTTGACACAGTCACAAATGGCGGTCATACCTTTTATGGGCAGCATTCTTATCTTCACCACATACTCAGCTTGAGCCTGTAACTACCTTGAGTATATATGCCAAGAAAGTGTAGATTGGGGGCCAAGTAGTAGTGAGGCATTGCACTGTCTTCACCTTCAAATTAAGTACTCAAAATAAGAACATCGAGGTGGTGAAGGAGGAGGAGGAGGAGGAAGCATATTCGGAGCAGACAAAAAGAGGAGCAGTAAGCACTAGACTTGTGATGTGATAATGTGGCAGAGTAAAGCACAAATAAATAGAACAGGGCCGTACACAGATTAAAGAATGGGGAATTGCATGAAGAATGCAGAAAATTAAGTTGTTATGGATAATCCATAATATATCATTAAAGCTACTCTTATTTGTGGATTGACGGTGTTTAGGATTGACGGAGTTACTTCTCCATTATACTAGAAAGGACCAACGCTTTTATTCACCATTTCTTTATGCAGTGTGAGAGATCACACAGACGATAACCGGTGGCAGACTAGATTTCATGAGTTGCATTGATTAGAGTATAAAGCGAGGAAAGCCTATCAACTCTTGCATTGGTCAGATTACGCGTGATCGGCGAACTCACAGCACACGCTATCATGTAAATTGCATGCCCAACTGTCAATTGTCACTACCACCACCACCTCATGCAAATTTTAAATTTGGCTTCCAAACTTCTCACTTATCGGTGCATCTTTTCTTACAGTTGCATTGGCCAAATTGGTTACCTGAACAGAACCTTATGCGCTTATGATCAATTTGCGGCGAAACTAAAAAATGGTCAGAGGACTATACTGTCTGCTTCGTCTACCTTCCACGCCAAGAATGCTTTCCTGATGTTTTGCTTCAAATATGTACGGGAGATTCATGCTATTACTCCTTATCATGAGTCAGCACGGTTCGCTATACGTGCTTGTCGTCGACTGAGGAGAGAATGGACTGACAATGCACTCAACGAAAACATAAGGCCTGATGTGTCGGTAACTTTGCATTTGGAACATTACTTGCAAATCAGAAGAAAAACAATTAAAATTCATTAACTTTTTTCTTTTGCTTGAAAATATAGACACCGTTTTTATTAGATAAAAAGGCAGGTCGATCATTCACATCCTATGACATTTTCTGTTAATTGCGGTTTCTCCTTCATTTTCCCCTCTTTGTCATTGCAATTAAATCAAAACAATCTGTGGCGATCTAACACCTTTCAACATTATTTTATGTGAATGAATGACCCAATTGTTAACGATAACCAGTGTCAAAAATGCAGGAAGATATTAGTGATAATGGTTAGCTTGCTGAGTTTAGACCACGTATCAAACTCGACTGCCTGGCAAAACACCTTCACAGATTGGGATTATTCACTTGAACAACATTCCCCTATGTAATCTACAAGAGCAAATGGAGAAGAACCACCTGATTCGGTGTCCAGCACTAAAAACAACGACGAAATCTCAGAGATACTGGGAAACAAAAAGACGACTAATGAACTGCTATTAATTTACTACTAAATAGGAACTCCCACAAATGAGGAGAGCTGAAGAAACTAAGGGCCATTTGAAAATATAATAATTATTTGATGCTAAAATGCTCAACTAACATCATTGATTCCAGAAATGTCCTAATACATTTGCATGCAATCTCAACACCAATTCCAAAACGCAGCCATATTCATTAAAATCACATTTCACACATTAGTTTGATTTAACTGAGTGTACTTAAATCGCATTATGATTTACTTGATAACCTTACTTCATTTAATTTTCATTGGATCGACATTCCATTTCTTCCAGTCCTCGTGCCAACATTTGCAAAGCATGACCTCGTCATTATTCTCATCATTAAAACTCAAATCATCAATGTGACATGAAACATAATTGAATTCATGCTGGAGGAGGTAATAGAAGAGAGCTAAACTACTCCTCAAATGGTTGTCAAATGGTCAATGTTTGACAGAAGATTCATTTTAGGATTTGGACTGTTTTAATAATTTACTCTGTCAATCTATTGAAACCAATAGTAAAGATTGAATTTTTAAACGCAATTCCTTTGGATTTACTTGCCAAGCAAATTAAATTTAGAATTTAAATGTGATTGGAAAGTTTGTTGAGTAAATTGAAATGTGATTAAATATAGCAAACCTAATCAAACACTTTTATATCACAGAAGGAGTCATATGTAGTTGGTAACTTGAAAGAGTTACAACAATTCAAGCCCTGAGATGCGTTTATTGAACTATTTGAATATCACCACGCAAACGAGTACAAGGAATGTGGAAATTTGCATGTGGGATGAATTCGCTACAGATAAAAAATTCGGTGAAATATCGCATGAATGCCAAGTTGTTTTGCACGAATCCTGGCAGCACCGACTTAACCATCCATTTGAGCAGTAAGATTCACGTATTTAGTTGATGCAAAATGTAAGCTCTGAGAAGTTTGAATTTAACCTTTGATTTTCTATATTCAATCAGAGTGGTATACTGGAAGACTACTGCATATTGAACAACGATGGTGGACGAGCGTTTGAATCTGTAGCTGAACATGTGCTGTGCCAAGACGCGCTTGGGTACCTTTATAATTTTGCTCTACTTTCATTGATTTGAGAGAACCCTTGTTTCACCGACTTTATCATTCGTTCGAATAGTGAAGCCTAACTATATCACCCATGATAAAAGTCAGATAATCAGGGCACCTCACTACCGTTTACAATGTTTTGCTCATTTGAAAATAAATACTATTATTATGTTTTCTAAATTTGTATTTATAAATGTTTCGTCAATTTTGTTGGACTAATTAATAATGAAAATC